AAGAAAGAAAGAAAGAAAGAAAGAAAGAAAGAAAGAAAGAAAGAAAGCTACCATACATCTTTGTTGTGGCTCCGATTCCCGAGCCTGTGCTGTTAGAGGAAGAGGACTTGGAAGATGAGGAGTAGGAACTGGGAATGCCTTCCTCCCCAGGACCTTCCTCTCTAGCAATGCCTTCCTCCCTGATAATACCTCAGGTTTCATCAGACAACCGAGAGGAACAGCCTGAGATTAATCAGGAGGAAGGCATATCGGAGCAGCCCCTGACAGGGAGTCAAGAGGAAGAATGTTGGCTTGATCCTAAGCAGCGTCGTAGGAAGAAACGTGAGCAGCAACGTAGGAGGCGTGGGAGGGTCAGAGAGTGAGCTGAGTCATTGAGCCACACCCCACAGGGAATAAAAGTGGGTGTGTTGTCAGCTGGAACTTTGTACGGGACAAAGTTTAATCTTGCTTCAGGTTTTCTTTGTGAATGATTTTATGGTCTGCCTTGTAATTTTCTGTGAGTAGCTTTTTACTTGTTATCAGTTCGGACTTGGCATTATCAGTTCCAAAAAATTAACTCTGTGAAGTCCAAGCCAGCTTGCCTGCCTGTGTTTGTGTGAGTTTGTACTCTTTCATCTTTTGGAAAGAAGAAAGGTGAGACAGAACACATCTTTATGCTATTCATGGTATATTTTCAGCTGGAACATCTTTCTACTTAAACTTTAGTACAACACCCAGATATTTAAAGTCATTAAACATCTTGGATTAATCTTGAAACTTTTTGCATACTTTTACTTAAAACAGAAATAATTTTGTTTTAACACAATATGGCTTCAATTCCAAAGCTACTTTTTATGAAGACCAAGTCATGAAACAGAGATTGGAAACAAAGCAAAGGTTAACCTTCTCATTCTTTCTAACCCTTTCTAAATGGCAAGTAGAAGTGAGCCTTTCTACTTGCCATTTTATTACCAATAATTTACCACTATCTTCAAATTAAAGAGTTGCCTTCCAACAACAAAAAACACAAGTTTGCAAACTGCCTGAATAGTAACACATAATTTTGTATGTTAAATATCGAACCACAAAGTGGAAGAGGGAAAATATTTGTGAGAAATGTTTACTGTGTTTTTTCCTTGTCAAATTTAAAAGGCCATTGGACTCCATAAAGGTTGTGACAGCAATAGTGTCAGCCTTCAAGATCTTCTACTACTGCTTTGCATCTTTTGGCTGCCATAAGTAACGGGGGGGAGGAGGGGGCAACGCCTGGGGAGGGAGCTGGAGGTGTTACAGTCTTGTGTTGTGTAAATGAGGAGGGGGGGGGAGTATAAATTCCTGTTTAGGTTTCTATTTCTCGCTTAGCTTTCTTTTCTCTGCGCAGCTGCAAATCTTTATCAAAATATGCCAAGGTCAATGGACAGAGGCCTCATCACCACCTGAAGATGCCCACATGATCATATTCACAACTTTTAATTGGAAGAATCATTTGAACTATGGGGGGTGGGAACATTTCCATCACTTTGTATATGTGATCTGCGCGCCTAATTTCTCAGATTCAGAATTCTACTGATGCTACCACTTCATTTTCAGTCAAAGATATCTTTTCTCTAATCTAAAGAGTCTAAGTATTTCTTTCTTGAATCTTGAATGGTAGAAGTAATGATGTAACCATGAAGCAGCAGCTAGGCAAATTGCTGAATAGTCTGAATTATGCTTTGGAAATTGTGTAATGTATGCTCTGAAACTGAGCAAATGAATGAGACCTAAAGGTAAGCTGTTCTCTACAAAATCCACTCTGAACTTATCACACTTTAAGCCTGGCATGAAAAAGCAGATCAACTTACTTGTTTTGAAGAGGAGGATATGGAATAAAGAAAGAAGATTGGTTCCAACAGTTTTAGGAGACTGCATAGTTTTGTCTACCTAGAACATTCCCAAGGCAGTAATCACTACTATATTAGCTCCAAATGTTCTTTTGGCTAAACACTGAATCCAGGCATACTGGATGGCTGGATGCTCCCAGGAGGCTGCAGGGAGGCCTCCTAGGCCCAAAATGTTTTGGGCCTAGCAAGCCTCCCTGGATCCTCCTGGGAGTGAAAATGGGGCATGGGGGGGCCACCGCACCCCCTTGCACCCTGTTTTGGACCTAGAAAGCTTCCCTGGAATCTCCTGGGAGCAAAAATGGGGCATGGGGGGCCCGCCACACCCCCATGCCCAGTTTGGGGCCTAGCAAGCCTCCCTGGAGTCTCAGGAGAGCCAAAACGGGATGCGGGGAGGGCACCGTACCACCTCATGCCCCGTTTTCGCTCCCAGGAGGCCTCCCTGCACTTACCTGGGAGCCAGACAGGCCTCGTGGGTACTCCTGGGAAACGTGGGATGGGGTGGACGGGGCCAGCTGGTCATCAGAACTACTGGTTTGGCGAAGTGGATGTAAAATTAACATCCGGTTCACCCGAACTGGCCCGAACCGGCTGAATCCTATCCCTGGGAGGAAGTGGACTTATGCCCAACTGTATATGAAGCAATGACTGCAGTTTTGAGCAAAAGAACCAAATTCATGATAGTTTACTTTATGGAAATGGCGGGGGGAAATCAAGTTTGGACAGTATTAGAAATTTGGCATTTGAAGTGAATCGCCACAAATGTTTGGCAGTTCTAACACAAACATCCCTTTTGAGCATTAAACCCTAAATTAACAAGGATCAGACACAAAAGAATGCATTAAGAAATGGAAAGGAAAAAAGGGGAACTAAAAGACCAAGCAGAAAAAATGAAGGCTACTGCAGGGCCTAACATAGGTGCTTTGATGACAAAAAAGAAGTAAATTCAGTCTGAAAATTAAAAATTACCAAGTTTACCATCACTATAACAAATCCTGGATCATTATGCTGTAAAAATGAAACACCAT